GGGGAGATAACAAAATGAAAGTGTAGATCGTTACAGAGTAAATGGTCATCAGTGGGGATGAATCTGTCCCATTTCTTCACCTTCATGATTTTCTTTTCTTTTTCTTTCCTTTTTTTGTTTCTAGTGTGAATGGAACCTCGATCTTGTAAGCAAGTGCCATTGTGAAGCTAGAGTTCCAACCATAAACTTATTTCTTAATACAAAGAACCATTTTTTTGTTAGACATTCAGAGAGTTGATAAATATAAGCTCACTGTAGGCTAGCAGAATCTGGTTCTTTAAACGGGTGTAGGGTTGAGACAGGATCTCTCTATGTAGTTCTGGTTGTCCTGGACCTTACTATGTAGACTAGGCTGTCCTCAGACTCAGATATCCTCTTGACTGCTGGGATTAAAAGCACTACACCCAGCCCACAACCCACTTCTTATTCATAGCTCTACATTAAGCATAGTGAGTGCTCAATTACTGTTAACTAAATTGAAATATTTGCTTAAGCAGGCTCTAAACCAGTTTAGATCTGTGAAGCTTCTTTACAAAACAAACTAATCCACTAACATTGTTAAGAAAAGGCATTATGGGTTTGAAAGGAAAGGTGATCTATTTTTCAGCATTCTCATTTGAGGAAAAACTTTGAAATGAATTCAATACATATCAGTGAGACATCCACCTGGCAGCTGCCAGCCTTACTAAGTCCCTCGATTTTTCACACTGCTACTGCTTATTTAGGAACTACACAGAATTCTGATGATAGTTCTTGACTGAAGAAAAATATGTGATTCAGCTGTCTTACCAAAATCCATTTACCATCCATGTTCTTTTATAGAACTCACATAGAGTGAAAATATTTTAGTTTTTCTCGAGATAATGACAACTTGGGGGACTATCTGACTCTTTCTCCTTCCTTTCCTCTTTCTCTCTTTTCTATTTTTCTCACATTCTCTCTACATATCTGATCAAAATGTCTAGATTTGGTAGCCACTATCAGAGAACACTTTTCATAGAAAACTCAGTGAAATTCTGTCATTTTAAAAGCTTAGGCTTAAAGACATGGCTTCTAATGATTAGACTTGAAATTCTGAGCTTGATTTATGGTCAATGAAACTTAATTCTATGGCCCTAAGCCTGAATGTTGGGATGGCAGAAACCCATACTGGAAAAATGCAGTTTTCCAAGTCAATGAGGGTGATTAATGATGAGGTTTTTCTTAAATTCCGCCCGGAAGATTGAGCTCTTGTGCTCCCTGGAGCTGAAAATGGAATACTGAGGTTGATTGTTTCTAGCACTAAATGATTAGTGACTGGATTTTAAAAGTCACCATAACAATAGGTAAAGTGAAACAATAAAAACCAAGACTTAATGAAAAGAAAATAAAACCACTGTATTTTGGAAGTAAAGACTAGCTTGCCTAGCTTAGGGCAATAATTCATGGAAAAATAAGTTGCGAGCCATTTAAGTAAAAATAAAGTTAATACAAGTGCTTTAAAAAAAAATCTAGAGAAAGTATTTTCTTCATTCACCCAAAACTTTAAGAGAGGAGAATGATCCATTGGGAAAAAAAAAGCAAAACAATGATTAATTTAAAATTAATAAATTATAAAGTATAAATTGTATAAATATAAATTATATTTAAAAAATATAAATTATAAAGTACCAATAAATAAACATAAGCTATTGAATTATAATTTAATAGCTGGTTTTAAAGTGTACATTGATTTTAGTTTTTAAAAATGTTGGGTTTTATACTAAGATTATTTGTGCTCTGTGTGTATCTGAAAATTTTCAGTGAAAAGTGGAGCCAACAGGCATGAATAAGATAGATGTGCAGCACACACCAGAGGAGCAACCTCGCCCTATGACCAGGGAAAACCGAGTCATTGTGAAAGAAAAAGGGATGAGGATGGACTGAGAAAAGGAACGATAACAACCAAAAAGACTGAAAACAGATGGATAGAAAGGAGAGCTGGACAGGAAAACACTTTCTTTAGTTCAAGAAAAGAATCCCAGAGAGATGGCACCAGCAGACAGGGGAAGCTCTGCAAGTAATCTTTGAGTCTGGCTGTTGTTCATAACTGTATAAAAAAATCTGAGGGCCCACTAAATAAGCTTAGCAGTGTGCTGGACACTAACAGAGACAAAAGAAGAAATACAGTAGACTTCCTAATCTCTAAGAACTTATTATGGCTGAAATGTCAACTGGCTTCATCATTTTAAAAATCATGCAATCTCTCAAACAATGTAAAACAGATGTTTCTGCTGCACCAAATAAAAAATATGCTGTTTATTTTAAATTGCGAATGATTTTTTTTCACTTGCTTTTCATCCTCTTCTTCTTCAGGGTTGTCCAGGCCAACATCAAGCTTTCTATGTAACTGAGGGTGACTTTGAACACCTAATCCTCCTGTCTTCACCTCCTGAGCGCTGAGACTAGAGGTGTGCCAGCATGTCTGCCCATCCCCTAATTTTAGATGATAAATACTTTATAAAGTTATTCATATATAACTTTCTGTTTTACTTTCACAAATCCAGGTGTGATTAGCACTCACAGGTGGAAATCTCTTTGGTAATCAAAGTCACTCAGTGGTGGCCTAATCTTTGTTTTTGAAGCTATTAATTTGGCGCCATTGTATTAAGATATTTGAAATCATCTCTTAAATATTTTTGGTTTGGTTTTGTTTGTTTTACTTTTTAGTGAAAATAAAACCGTATCTTCCATTCTCACCTCTTAGAACACAGTTATATTATAAAGCACATTATTGAAACTCTAATTTAGAAAGTGATATTTCAATAGACACAGATTGGATTGTAAACAAAGTCAAATATGATTCTATAAAATTAAAAGCTTCTATATTGCCAAGACTCAATAGAATGAAGTAAAAACTTGCAGAATATATATAATGTGGGAGAATACATGTGATACATCAAGCTTAGGATCTAGAACATATAAGGAAATTAAAACCTCAACAGCAAAAAGGAGGCTCAAATCATACTACTTACAAATGGTAAATAGAGCTAAATAGATTTTTTTTCAAAAGCTGACACACATGGACAATGGGACAATATCACCAGGGAAATTCAAATCAAATCAAACCACAAGAAGATATCATCCTACCAGAAGAAGAATGGTTAACACCAAAAAAATCAGAGGGTAGCAAATACTGATGACAATGTGGAGAAAGGGGGAACTCTGGTGCAGTAGGGGGGAGGGAACAATGAAGGAAGATAGGCCATCAACTAAATAGGAGGAAGAAGTTTCTGTGTGCTATTAAAAAGTAGGATACCTACAATGATAATATACAAATATATTTTTTGAAGCTAAAAGGCATCTTTTGAATGTTTCAATAGAGAAGATTGTTATGTTTATTTGAACATCATGTAATATATTTTTAAATTTTATTTTATTATTATAATGTGTGCATGAGTATATGGTGTGTGGGAGTGTGTGTGTATTTTTTGAGGATAATGTTTTGGAGTAAGTTCTCTCTTTCCACCATGGATTCTGGCAATTGAGCTTGGGTGGTCAAGATTTTATGGCAAGTGTTTTTACCTGCTGTGCCAGCTAGCTTACCATCCTACCCATGTGTGATATCAAAGCACCACATCACTACCCATAAATATGTATAATTAAGTGTCTGATATGTGACCCCTGGGAAAGGATCATTCGACCCCTAAAGGAATCATGACTCACATGTTAAGAACTGCTGGTTTAGACAAATGCAATCAAAATATTATCCCAAATAGGCAATCAATACACAAATTGTCTATGAGATATTTTACAGTATTTTTCACATGATGGACTTAAAATTACATATGTATTTTATACTTCCAGCACATTCCAGTTTGGACAGCAACACTGCAAATGCCCAACCACCAAAGAAAAGCCAAATGTAGCTACCATGAGGAACAATGATGATCTGTGGTGTTGTCCCCCCCCCAAACAGTGCATATCCATCCTTTAAACATGATTTAATTATATGTGGGTGTGTGGGTTTGTACACATGAGTCCACGTACCTGTGGAAGCCAGAGCGAGCATTGGATCACCTTGAGTTGCAACTACTGACATGGATACTGAGAACTGAACTGTGTCTTTTGTGTTCACACTCTACCACAGAACCATCTGTCCAGCCCTCATCATTTCTTGCTTTTAACCAAGCAGAGAATAAAATCTAAAAGCCATTTTTCTATGTTGCTGTAATATGTAATACTGTCTTTTTCCAACTTGTCTTGTGGTATTTTCTACTTGGACATAAAGAAAGTTAATTAAACTTGCTATATAGATGAGAAAGCACATCTCTCATTAAGCATTATTGCACCCTCAGGGCCTGTGGTTTAGTTGTACACTGAGGCTTGAGATACACGTATCCTTCCAGTTGAGCTGCAGAACAGGTGACTCCTACATCTAGCGCTAATGAATGATTCAACATTGGTTCGCATGTCTAGCTGATGATGAGGATCATCTGAGGACTGTTTTAAAAGAAGATTTACTTTCCTGGAGTCTAACTCAAGTATCTGTTGAGTTGGGTCTGGAAATCCACATCTTTAACAAGTACAGTAGAGGAAAATGAAGAGCCTGGTCTCATTTCAGGACTGTTGATTTATTTTGCCTGTACTCAGACAGTCAAGCCTGCCCAACCCTCGATCACTCAGTAGGACTTTCTCCTTTTCATTCTGCCAATGTTCAGTTTGACAAAGAAGTAGGATCTAATCCACACATGCATTTGGATTTAGGACAGAATGCAACAATCCCATTCAAATAAGCTACTTCTTCCTCTAACTCTATTGCTTTTCTAGATAAATCAGTGTGAATGTACACATGAGATCCAGGTATCAAAATGTTCCTCCAAAGCACCACCTCAACCCACTAGCAGGGAAAAAGCTAATATTGATTATATAATACAGAGAACAGGAGTGGTGAATTGACGGGATATCTGAGATGGCAGTAAATTTGAATGTGTGCACATTGTTGGCATTCATCTTGATATTTCAAATAAAAAATTACTCACCCTTGGCCAATTTTTTCAAATCTTGTATATTTCTTCTTTGGGTCCCCAACACTCACAATGCTTCCTGGGGGGGGAAGAGAGAGAGAGAGAGAGAGAGAGAGAGAGAGAGAGAGAGAGAGAGAGAGAGATTTCCTTTAGCCGTAAAAATTATGAGATCAAATTCAATAACCTTCACAATTTATATGAGAAATATACTTAATTTGCTTAAAATACACTGAAATATATTAATTAAAGTGGTGATAATAATCCATACTGTTTATATTAAAAACTGCTTATATCTGGGAAACAAGGAATGGACTAACAAAAGCTCAGCATTTATTAAAAAAAAGAACGGTCATCATAAAATCAATATTTTAGATTAGGAAATTAAAATACCTAAAGATTGTACCCATGATTTTATAAGATAATTTTTCTGAATTGGTATAAAGACAAGAATTCCACTACATTTAATTTCACAAGATGAGCACCTATCAAGTAATTAATGTTGGCTAGTTCCGTGCTAGGGGGATGGTAAATAGGGATGGGTCTGTTGAGTAAGGCTGGCCATACAGTACGAAGACTCATACTTTCCAAAATGAAATGTCTCTTAACTTAGGAGTCTACTGGAGCTCAAAATAATTGACCAGCATTTTTGACATATGATGTAAACATCATAAAACTTACCCATTTGGAATGTACTCATTTTCTGTGTATAGTCCATGCATATGTACGAACATGTATGTGTGTGTGTGTGTGTGTGTGTGTGTGTGTTCATGCACATGTGTGTGCATGTATGGAGATGACAGATTCACATTAGGCGTATTCATCTATGGCCTTCCACCTTGTTTCCTCACATGGGATTTCTCACTGAACCTAGAGCACACTGACTTGGCAAGACTAGAAGGCCAGCATGTCGCATAGATCCATTTCAACATCTCCAGCATTAGGGTTACATGCATGCACCGACACATCCTTATTAGATGTATGCTGATGTCCTACTCTCAGAAACAGTAACCACTTTAAAGAGTAAGTAATTACTTTCACCCTTCAATGTTTTTTAAAAGTGTATTTGAGATTTTGCACACATCATATGTATGTATGTGTATATGTATACAAATTTTATATACATATATACATAAATAAATAATTTGGGGGGCTAAGAAGATGGCTCAGTATTTATAGCACTTGCAAGCATAAGGACAAGAGTCATAGCCCCAAGAACACACATGAAATATCAGTTGGACATCGTAGCACACTTGTACTTCCTGTGTCTAGAAGGCAGAGATGGAGTCCTGAAGGAAGGGGGTAGCTAGATTACTTGTATTAAGGAGCTCTGAGTTTAGCTTAGAGGCTATGCTATGATGAATGAGCTGAAGAGTAACCACATAAAACTCCCTATTCTACCTAGAGCCTGTGCATCTGTATAGACATGTGTATTGATACTTATGTGGACACACTTATATACAGATACAACATATGCACAGACAACAAATAACAAACATTCCACAAAGAAACACTTTATGCATTGCCAGTTACTTTTGTTGTTGTCTGAAAGCAGAGTCAGGGTATCATGAGGCTATTTTAACACAGGCTACTGCATGAAGGTTCATAGAAAAGAGTCGGTTTGCTCAGAAACAAATGTCTGCTTCTCTAAGAGAGAGGCATATTTCATTGTCATTATGATAGTCGTCTGCAAGACTTGGGTGGAATTCTGAAGCAATTGTCTTCCATGGGTTCCTAAGAAACGTAAATGAGATTACAGAGTGGTTTCTGCAAGGCACCTAATGAGATTGCAGTTGATAAGACGAAACTCTAGATGGTAGGGATGCAGGAAGATAGGAGAACTTCACTGTATTGCACATCCCTCTTACCTCTTTCTAAATAATCTTGCAAAAGTTCCTCCTTGCTACAAAGTGAAGCCCAGATTCCTTAGTTGAACACTGAAGGCCATTCACCATCCAGCCTCATCTGGCTTTTCCCTAACCAGGCTAAGCAAATGTTCTTCTCCTGTCTCCTTCCCTTCTGTTTTAGGATCATAGGAGTGTTCTCACCATCCAGTAGCTATTCACATATGCTTTTCTATTCCCTTTCCTATCTAAGGTATGGCTTCCTAGTGTAACCTCAGGGCACCAGCCTGTGAAAAGTCTTCTATGATCACTAACAAAACAGACATACTTTTATTTCAAGTCAGGAAATCTGTGATTTTTATCCCTTTAATTTTGGTTCCCAGTGCAGTGGTTACACTGAACAAATAATTGAATTAATGTAAGAAAACATATATTCAAATAGAGTACCATGTATTATAGATAGACCTTACACTAATTTAGATGACTATTTTTGCCCTGTCCTAGTAGAGAACCTAATTAAAACCTAATAATTGACTATGCATTCAAGGAAAATCAGCTGAATGTTTGAATTATGGACTATATATCAGGTTTGGGATTTATCATTGCTGGGATTTGTATGGGGGTGTTTGGTTGACCAAGGTCAACATTGAACTTCTGACCCTCTTATGTTCATCTCCTGGAATCTGGGATGACAAGCATGCACCACTAGACCCTATGAGTGTGGTGTTGGGGATAGAACTGACAGCTTCATGAATGCCAGGTTAGCACTCTACCAATTGAACCATACCCCAGACCTACTGGGTTTTGTTCTTTATTTTTTTCTTTATTGTTTGACAGTTTCATACTGGCTTTGTTTTATCCTTTTTCCCCCCTTTCTCTCTTCTTTCACTTTCCTTTGGAAATGGATTCTCGTGTTTCAGTTGGGTATAGTATGACAGATACTGTGAGAGTTGCTATGATCCATTGTCTCAGGCAGTGGTGCTGTCAATCTATCCTCTAAGCAGTCTGGTGAGACATCTGAGAATTGTCTTTGAGTCATCCCGTGCATTCACTTCCTGCATATGAGGTTTACTTAGTGCTAAGACTGTATCTGTTTTCTTTCTTGACTCCTTTTTTTTTTCAACTCACTCCTTCCTTAATTCTACTACTTCCGTTAGAATCTGGTCATCTTTGGTTCTAACATTCTGCTAATTACATTTCCTTTTTGTCAGGCACTGTCAGGTCCACCCAGGTTTTGCACCTCTCTTACGATGCTTTAAGTACAGATTTTGTCAGATGAGTCTCTAATTTTGATACCAGACACACCTGACACCTATAATTAAGGGTCAAAGTCCTTGGCACCAAGTTTAAGGATCACTATATGTTAAAATTGCATCTTTAACAGCTAGAACCTTATGCTCTGACCAAATATTAAGCATAATTCCAGAGGAGCCCCTGTTAGTAGTAACCATTAAGCTGCCTCTTCTACACAGCCAGTAAAAAGCTTTAAGAGTAATTCTTCTAAGAGTATTATTTTTACTTTTTATGTGTGAGTATGTGAGGCAGAGAAGGTGTGTGGTGTTTCTGTGCGTGTGCGTGTGTGTGTGTGTGTGTGTGTGTGAAAGAGCGAGAGAGTGAGAGAGAGCAAGTGAGAGAGACAGAGACATAGAGAATGTCACATGTGCAAGAAGGGTGGGTACCCAAGGAGGTCTAAAAAGAACACTGGATTTCTTGGAGCTGGAGTTTCAGACATTATAAGCCACTCAATATGTATGCCAGGAACCAAACTCAGGACCTTTAAAAGAGTGACATTTTTTCTTAAACTGACAAACTATTTCTTCTAACTCTGATTCTTTATTCATTACAGTGTCTAGCTATGTACCTTCAAGTCTGCATACATTGCTTCTTGGTGTTTTGGCTAAGATCAAGTGAAGTCTTTGCATCCTCTATTCCTCCTGAAACATACTTCTTGTGTTTTCCCCATTAGCAAGCTCCCTGCTTTAAAGGCTTTCTTAGATATTACTTCTTCTAGGACACCTCCATGATCCCTTTGAATAAAGTTAATAACTTCCCTTTTTCTCTCTCTCTAGCATTAGCTCTCTTCCATGGTCCTTAATGTGTCTTAGATTACTTTGGCATTGCCTTTTAGGCTGTTTTAATGACAGGAACCTAGTCTTATTCACCAGTATATCCTTTGTGTTCTTATACAGCATAAGCTATATAATATATCAAGTACTCAATAAATGCTTGTGGAATTAAACACAAGTAAAATTAGTCATTTCCTTTTGCAAAAAAAATGTCCATGGTACAAGAAAGGTTGAAAAATGCATTTTATTTTATTTGAGTTATGTCTCTAGAATGTCAGCAACTTAGTGATATGTGAGTTGCTTTTCTAGTTTTCAAATTGTCTAATGGATTTCCACATCCCTAAATTCATCTTTCTTCAAGTCAGTTATTAACGGGCAAGTGCCTGGATTTTTTCTTCTTTTGATGAAATGATGATTTTAAAGTTACTTGAAACCAGAGTGTTATTAAATGGCTTATACTTTTTGGAGAAAGTTTTGCTATGAAGTTACTGAGCAAACTCTTTTCCATAGACTGATCAAAAAGCAAATAAGCTTTAGCTCAAACCACTGTCTGAAATGCAACCAATTTCAATTGGCAGGGTTCAGTTAATGAGGCTTTATGGTGGTAAATTATTCAACCATTATTTCCACGGTATGTGGTGTTAAGAAATCTGGAAATGGATCTTTTCATAAGGATTACTAGGGGACAACCATTTTGATGAGATTGTGCTTCAGAATTTAACTGTTGTCCAATTAAAATGGCGTCCCCACACTCTCTATCCTTTACCAGATAGTCTGTGCTGCCATCTACTGATGGCAGGCAAATATACAAGAGGCTTTCCTTTACAGTTCTGGTAACAAAACAAGACTTTAAAATGATCTCTCTCCTTAGGTCCATTACAATTTGCTTTTATAAATTACAACAAGGAAAGGTAAAGTATGGGAACACAGTAGGGCAAAAAATTAGGCCAACAAATAAAATTCAGTGAAGAAAACTGTCATAGAAATAGCAGAACCATTTCCAACCAATTAAGAAACAAACCACTCATCTTAAAGTAAAAAGTTTTAAGAAATCACTAAGTTCTGGTATTTGAAGATGGGACTCACGTTGTGGTTCCAAAAGAAACAAAAATGCACAGCAAAATATTTTCTGTCATATTGAGCTAAGCTGATTCCTGTCATTAACAGTTTATCCCTTGAGCACAAAGGAGGTTATGTTGTTTTATTATTGTTTTGTTTTGTTTTCTTGCTTAGGGTTTCTTTGAGTAGCCTAGTACTCAATCTGAAGACAAGGCTGACCTCGAATTCAGAGATTCTGCCTCTGCCTCCCTAGTGCTGCGGTTAAAGCTATGTGCCACCACCACCCAACTAGATATTACCATCATCATCATCATCATTGAGGAAGAGCTTAATAATTCTCTAAATTAACTTTGATATCTCTAATAGTGAATTGAGAAAAAGAATTTGGAACTTAGAATGCTAGAGAAGGGGAGAACAAAGTGGAATAAGTGGTCGTGGGGCTTAGGAGAGAGGTAAAACAGAATTTCCTGCACTGCACAATTGTGCTGACTGCCCATGCCTTTTCAAAATGTTTGCTAGCATGCAGGAGTTTCCTTTTTCCAACAGTTCCAGACAGACCACAATGAACAAGCCAGACCCAAGCTATCTGTCTGTGTAAAACTGAAAGATGATCTGTCCATTTCAGCTATTAATGATTCCTTGGTCTGGCCCCTACCATCAGTATCTGAATGGAAGATAAATTGCCTGGTAGCTCTGTGGTTTGGCTTGCACAGTTCCTAGCAATCACATTCTTGAGGTTGAAGATGATGATGATTAAGTAGAAGCTGCCATTTCTTTCTCATAGTGTTCACTCTCGTGGAGGTGGCAGGGCATCCTTGTACTTCTCTGCCTCCTTTGGCCCACCCCCATTCCTTTGTCACTCAGCACAGGCTCCTCTACTACTTCCTCAAGATTAATTTACACTTTGGATTCCAATGACATCAATGACTTCTGTGTAGGTACCACACTTATGAGATTGGCCTCAGTTGTAAGCATCCTAACCTACTGGATGATTGCTCTCATTCTGTCATGATGGCACAACAGAAATAAAATAATTTTAAACTAATTATCTTGCTGGATATCTAACCTACATGAATATATTTATTTAGTCTTCAAAAAAGTATCTCATTACATTGGGATTATTATTATTATTGGAAGTTCAGAGAAAGTAAAAGACTTCCAAAGGGATACAGAGTTTGTGATATGGGTTGGACCTCGTTATCATTTCAAAGCTCACTTGTACATTCACATTAAGGGTTTGTACTCCTAATGAAACAATGAGCATTTGTTGAGTCCCCCACGGTGAGCCAGATATATTTGCTGAGGTTTTCATTGTCATAATGCTATGAAGGTGGTATTATTATTGTTGTTATTATTATTATCATCATCAAAACTTTTGTGGATGAAGAAATAGAAGACAAGCAAAATTAAATAACAGGCTGAAACAGACATACCATCAGTAGTTCATTGCTTTGAATCTAGGTCTTTCTGTCTTGAGTATCTGTCCTCTTTTCTACAGAAAAAGTTTTAAAATGTACTTATGATTCTTACACCCATGTCATAGGTAAGAGACCGAGGCCAGGCAAGGTTAAATGACTTCTTTCTGGTAGCCAGTGTGCAAACACATTGAGGGGGCATAGAGAGGATGAAGCATAGAGGGCCTGGGAGGTCTGAACTTAAGATGTGTACTTCCTAAGAAAGCATTTTCCATTTCTCTGTAGGTTTTCCTTGGCAAGATTCATTAGCATAAAGGAAAGCTGGCAGATCCAAGTGGTCTGATTGCTGGAGGGAAAGCGATTGACTCTGGACTCTGATAAAGTATAAAATCCAATAGAGAAAAACAGTCACTTAATTCTGTTTTTCTTTACAATTATTCTCATTAAAGCTTAGTTTTCATTAAAACAGATCAGCACCTTCTCCTGTTTGTCCTGTTGTTCCTTGATGCAGAGCAAAATAAATAAGGCAGAAAGGTCGCAGCCAGAGCACTGTCACAGCCTATAGGGAAAACTGTCACTCAGAAATGCAGTGCCTATTTCTCAGCTTTCTTATGAAATGTATAAATCAATGTTCATGACAATGAATGTACTGAGGTTCAAAAGAGACACCAGAGAACAGTCATTTTGACTAATGCATGACTGTCTAATGTAATCTCTCTCATGGTTCATGTCATATGTACACAACAAAGGAAGAAATGGAGTGATTATCTGAATCACTGAACTTCATTTTCCTGGTGATTCTTTTTATCTCTCCGTTCTGTTTGGTACACGAGCAGTTGCGTTATGCAAAACCAAAGTGGTTAATGGGTAAAAGTGCAAGCTTTAAAGGCATACAGATGTCAGGTCAAACTCTGGCTCTACCACTCATTATTCTGGTGACTTGGTCACTTAAGCTTTTTAAAATTGATATTCAGTGTCCTGTAAAATGTAGACAGTAAAATCTACCAGAAGCAACTATAGAGAAAATAATATATGGAAAGTGGTCACTCACAAAGTGCCGCTCATGTGAGAATTATTATGGCTGCTATTAGAGCAAATATGGGCACTAACGCTAGAAGCATCTTTAATCGAGTATGGCAAAGTCAGTTTGCTAAATTGTAGGAATTCCAGTTCCAAGTGCTGACAGACGAACTTCAACCTTGGCTGCCCCAAACATCTCTACTTCAAATGATGATAGTGCTACATACGAAGTATTTTGAACGCAATAGACACAAAGTAATTATTCAGTCCAAATCACAGTTTTTCCATGAAAGGGAAGGGAGGGGGTGTCGTAGCCTATAATTCCCAGCAGCATTCCTAGCTTCTATCATCTAGTAATCCTATCTCAATTGGGAATCTAAAAACTCGGCTAGCTGCTTGGTAGTGAAATGGCCCCGTTGCCATGTCTACAGTGCCTCCCTGTGGCCAACAAATGAATTTTCTCTTTTCCTTTGCTCTGCTCTGTTAGCTGAAAAAGAAGTGCAAAAAGTGATGGCCCTTTTACTATCTTACTATGCTACTAAATCTTACCATACAAAGAAAAAATGGAATAAGAGTCAAATTTGGAGCACTGATTACTAATATCTAGCCATTCTGTGTGAGCTTAAAAGATACAATTCATAGAACCTTGACATTTTTTCCGGGGGAGAACCTATTTCATAATCTTGAGTCTTGAGTATTTTGTCAAATTGGAAACGGTGGAAGCATGTGTGCGCCAACGACATCTTGGAAGCAACTGCTGCTCCTGCTTCCCTCCCCCCAGATAAGGGGAAGCTATTTTTATCTGTGGCTGCAAGTTTTTATTGTACTCTATTGGACTTTAAGGTTGATTTTTATTTTTAATCACTGTCTATCAATAGGGACCTTCTGCTATAGTCATGACATACTTTAATCAGGGTACTTTGATTCTTATTAGTATTGTAATCTTAAAACTTACTACCTTAATATATTTTGTCTTTTACATCTTCATTGACCATTTTGACCACTCTAAATGAAAATGCATAGTTTCTGTCAGAGTAGGACTATGAGCGAGAGAGTAACCTCTCTTAGGAACATTAAGCCCTAAAAAATTATTTAATAACTTAAGGGATCCTAGAATCCGACAAGAAGATTTAAACATCTAAAAGGTCAAGTCTCCTTCTAGTCACAGTATGAGAACAACTTTCTGATGGAAAAATCCTCACTTAGCTTCTCGAGGATCTCCTCATCTGTCATCTTGGATTTTTTTCTTTGCCGATCTGTATTCCTGTACAAAGTACTGGAATTGGCATTCTCAGCAGAAGGTGGGGTGGCTTCTTTATTTGGTGCAGCTGGTGAAGCAATTGAGTCAACCACAGAACGAGTATAGATCTGAAAGACAAACACACCCATCACAATTCCACAATTAATACAGTAGATAAGGAAGAGTATGGCAGGAAGGGACTATCCTAATGTTAAAGAACATTACGGAGCATCACACATGCTAAAAGAAGTCTCTATCCATGACCTTGCTAATTCTGATCTTGCTGCTCCTCCCTTAGTAATTCTTCCTATCTGGTTATCATGGATTTATTTATTTCTACCTCTGGAGTTTTACAAACTTGAAGTTACATGTGGAATTTTTTTTCTGTATTATTAGCAAGTTATTGAATGTGATAATCTTGTACCTTCAAATCATGACTTCAAAACCAGACTCATTTAGTGTTGTTTCTTTGATTGTGCAGTATAAAACAACAATTATAGAAGGGATCATGAATTTGAGAGGGATAGTTGGGGGGCCATGGGAGGAGTTAGAGGAGCAAGAGAAAAGAGTGGAAATGGTGTAAATGTGGTACTTATTTATGAAACAAAAAATAAGAAAAATTTTATATTGATTTTAGACTCATAATAAAATAAAATGATTTATATTTATTTTAATTCATGTGTGTATATGTGTGTGCACTTGTTTATGTGTCTGTCATGTGTATACAGGTGCCAGTGGGGCCAAAAGAGTGCATAGGGTCCCCTAGAGATGGAGTTACAGGTGGTTATGAACTGCCAGCACAGCTTCTGGGAACTAGGGTTCTCTAGAAGTTCAGTGAGTACTCGTGACTGCTGAGCCATTTCTACAGCTCCCAGACTTATGTTCTATACTCTACCTCTGATAACACAAGAGATGCCCAATAGGTATTAGTTGCTCAACGTTATTCTAAAATTACATTCTAAATGGGACCTTTGTGTGCATATATGTGTGTGCATGTGTGTATTTGCACGTGCCCTCACATGCATTAATACACGTGTGGTATGTGCATGTGAATGCTAGTTGATGTTACTCAATTGCTCTCTTCCTCATTTTCAGAGACAGGATCTCTCATTAACTTGAAGATGGCTAGACTGACTTGCAAGCAACCCCAGGGATCCTCTTGTCTCTACTTAGCAAGCACTGGGATTTTAAGCAAATAATGCTGGAACTGAAAGATGAAACTCATGTCCCCATGCCTGTCAAACAAGCACTTTAAGAACCCAGACATCTCTCTAACCACAAAATGCCATCTTGTTTTATTTCTTCAGTCTTGTTTCAAGCCATAGTCTTACTATGTAACATAGGCTAGCCTGGCATTTTGGATCCTATCCCCTCAGCCTCTCGAATAATGGGATTAAAGGCATATGCTATAATACCTCTTCTAAAAGGGATCTCTTGAGTCATTTATAAACACCCACTGATTTTTTTCTTGCTTCAGTAGGATGTTACTAACTATCCTAAATAGATGAATGTTTAGATTTATTCAAAATACGTAAGTGTATACTTTAGGTTTGGAAGGTATTTCCAATATTGACATATTCTGTTCATTTTCTAACCTGATAGGTCTGTCTATTTATTTATTTATTTATTTATTTATTTATTCATGTCTATCTATCTATCTATCTATCTATCTATCTATCTATCTGTTCAAAATGTTGGTTAAAAACTCATTGTCCATGGTACCATATTACATAAGGGAGTTTTCACGCAAGTATACTTTTTATATAGAACATATGTTCTCCCATACTCCCACATCTACTCTTCTCTTTTGCAGCTCTTCTCTGTCCCATTATTCTAGTTTGTTCCCCTAGAGCAGTGCTTCTCAAACTTCCTAATGCTGCAACCCTTTAATACAGTTCTTCATGTTGTGATGACTGCTCCAAACATAAAATTGGTTTCACTGCTACTTAATAACTTCAATCTTGTTACAGTTATGATTCATAGTGTAAATATCTGTTATGCATGATATCTGATATGTGACATCTGTTGAAATAGCAACCCACAGGTTAAGAACCATTGCTATAGATAGACTTTTACTTTCAGAATATATTATTATGTGTGTATCTATGATTATATACTTGTTTATAGTTATGTATTATATATACTTATGTATTATATATTATTTATTATATATGTATATAATCAGAAAAGCATAAATGAGAGAAAACATACCATATTTGTCTGTCTGACTTACTGATTTTGTATGCTCTGGTCTTGGTGCAATGACAGGTGGGGGCTCATTGTCATCTTCTTCCTCTTCCTCTTCTTCATCCTCTTCTTCAGATACAGGAGGAGCCAAAGGAGGTTCCGAAGCTGTTTTGGTATTCTTAGAAGAACAAATGTTTAAAGACAAGGTATTAAATTTTGTTATTTTTCTTCAGAAACAAGAAAACTGAGATATAATTACTTAAATGTGTAGTGATAGAAAAAACATGTCTTTTCACAAATGGAACACAATGATCTACACTTAGTAGCCAAGACCAGAGCACATTTAGAGACAAATTGATTTCATGATAAAGTGGACCACAAAGTCTACATTATTATTATCTTTGTTTTTATTTTTTAAATCAATGACTACATTAAAAATCAAATTGACATTAATACTTTGAATATGTAGAGTACATTAATAATTTCCTGAATGATAGTTTGCCATGCTTTAAAGGCCTACTTTCTGATAGTGTAATGAGCATGATCATGAGGCTAGATATGGCTTTGCAAATAATAAGAGCAAAGAAGCTAAGAAATGCTTCTGCCTTGTTAAGCCTCCGAGAATGCATCACTCAATAACAGACACTAAGATCCAAGGAACACATTCGCCTATCAGCAATTGCTCAATATAACCAATAAAGAGGATACTGGTGATTTACAATGTATGGTAATAACAACTAACACTATATATCACCACAGTACCTAGTGTTCATTTTTTATTTGTTAACACAGTCGGGAAATGGTTACAAGCTTGTGAATTTTGAATGAATTAAGGTCATGGTTCTCAAATTGCAGTTACTAGCTCTTTAGCAGCAGCAGTATCCAGAGGCTTGTTTAAAATGCAAATTCTCAGGGTCCACCCAGATTTGTCAATCAGAAACTCAGGCACTTGGAAGTCTGTATTACAAAAATTTTTATAAGTAATCCTAACACAGGCTCACATAAACTACGGTATAGGTTTGGTACAGACAGATATTAGACATATGGATACTGAATAACACACCCAAAAAGCTAAGCTAGTCTGAATTGGTTTGTGTTATAATGGTATCGTACATCTCAGATTCTGTAAACTTGATATGAAAATGTCAATTATTTTACTAACGCATTAACAATTTTACATTGAAGGGATAAATGCCAGCGTTTAAATTTTTTGTATATGCTGTAAGATTATGGGTGTTGTATGGTGGATGCACATGTGTGTGCAGGTGGGTATGTCTCTGTGTGTATGTGTGTACCAAAGGTCCAAGGTAAGTGTCTTCCTATATCCCTCTGTTGTGTAGCAATATCCTTTGAGATAAACTTCTATCTTTCAAAGTTTTGTTAAGACAGGAGAAGTTCTAATGGGAGGTAAAGTATTCCTTCTTGTTGGAAAACTCCTTAAGCTCAGGAAAATATGGTTTTAGGAAATCCCTGAAACTAAGTAGATACACTAGGCTCTTCCTTCCTCGAGTGTATAAAAACAGCAAGGACTGCTGAGAGACACTTTCAAAGGAGCTGAGCCACCTGGAAGTAGCAGAGACCACACAAACTGTCTAGAAGCAACAATCCAAGCCAAGGTGCCTATACAGATGTCACATGGAAAGGATGCTCTACAATCTGTTGAGCTACCTGCAGGCTGTACAGTGTGCTCCAGGTTTCCAGCTTTTGTGAGCTGTCACCAATGTCAGGGTGGGCTTTGGTGATGCAGCTATCTTTGAGTCATTTTTACACCTGTAAAAAATCCTCCACCCATGCTCCTGTAAGTAACCCCAATAAAACTCATTGGTTCACAAGGGTAAACTTTGTTATGTCCCTACTTTGTTCTCTCATTTCTTCCCTACTTGGGGCACAGAAAACATTTATTTTCTCAGGAATGGTGCCATACAACACACATTCTCTAGCTTATTATTTGAGACAGAATCTTTTAACTGAACCGAAGGAGGGAGGGAGGGAGGGAGGGAGGGAAGGAGGGAGAGAGAGGGAGAGAGAGGGAGAGAGAGAGAGGGAGAGAGAGAGAGGGAGAGAGAGAGGGAGAGAGAGAGAGAGAGAGCACTTGCCAGCTATCCAGATTCAAGGATCTAACTGCTTCCACCTCTCAGGACTACTGTAACAATAACAGATATGTACATACTGCTCCTGAAGTTTACATGGGCATTGAGGAACAATATTCACGTTCCCATGCTTGCACAGAAAACACATTACCTAATGAGCTGAACTCTGGTAATATTTTTAATATTGAGGGTTTTTTGTAATAATCACTTTTAATTGACAAATATTCATTACACATAGCCTTGGTTTTCATAAGGACACTTTGACATAAGTATACTTATTTTGAGCACATCCTCTCTCCCAGTCCCCTTGGGACTCTTCCCCTCCCCATAGTTCTCTTGCTCTCATAGACAGTTACATTTTCTGTTCCTGGTAACTCCTACTTTTCACATGATCAGCATCCATTCTTGCTAAATTTTAGGTTAATTATTTTGCTTCTGCACAGTAATGAGGAACATGGTTGGACTTCTCCCCTTTGGTAACCACATTGGAAATACATCCCAGTATAGATAGACTCTCATTTTATAGAAAGCACACCTTTTATCAAGAATGTGTTCCCTGCATGGTTTTACACATTAACTAGGAAGGTCAGAGGAAATATCTGTCATCTCTAATCAGTCAGAACGTATTTTGCTAAGGCTAGCTGAGCCCACACTGTCCCTGTTTCATTCATTTTCTCTTTTCGTTTTTCTTTTTTAAATCTTATTTATTCCCTACCCATCCAACTTCTTGCTCTTTATATTGCTTTAAAGAAAAAAAAAGCTACAGAAACTCTGCCATGGATTCCAATTTGTGTTGCCACTACTGTGTCTGGAACCTGCCTTGGGATGTGGTTGATACAACCAGTGTCACTCATTGAAGAAAAGGAATGTTCCCTCTCCGAGCAGCTATCAGTTACAAATAGCTTCTCTGCTAGGGGTGAAGCTTTATGCCTATTTCTTCTCCTCCTTGCTGGAATTTCATCTGGCTTGTATAAAATATATCATTAATTAAATTTTTGCATTTATTTTTTATTTTGAAATGCAGTTACTAAATATTTCAATTATATATGTTTACATCATATTTCTATTGAATAGTGGTTACTGTGGGTATTTTTAATTATACTTTCTCTTTGCATAATTGTTTCTTCTTGTTTATGTTTATGTCACTGGTTTTGCTCCCCTAAAGTGAATTTTCACTTATTGAGGTCAGAACTCTTGAGGCATCCTATTAACAAAAGTAGTACACTAAAGGTCTTATATCTGGTTTTGAACATCGATATGAAAACTTTTTAATACTGTTAACATTTACAGTGTAGTAATATGTTGTAATTATGTATTGGACATGAGCTAGCACAAATGATATACTATGAGGAAAATATTGTATGAGTTTTACATAAGTATTTGAAAGACTGCTGATATACACATACGCCTTGTGCCTTAAAAGACTGAACTAGATGTTTACTTGAGGTTAATTTTCTTATTTATGCATACATATTTATTCCTTTCAAATTAAAATTTAATTCTATAAAAACTAGCTTACAAAGTAATGCAGTTCCCTCTGGCATTTTCATGCATACGTCACTTTGTAGCATAATATCCAAGCAAATGACAATAAGCCAACACCAATTTCTCTCTGTACCAATCAGTTTCCTGAAAGTTAATGTTTTGGTGGAATTCTATTAAGCTACAAAGAAAATAATGTTATAAAATTTTCAGGCAGGTGAAATAAAAAATGTTCTGTTAAGTGAGACAAGTGGTTCTCCATCAGCCTGATACCCATTTTCACTGTACCTCCAACTTCAGTATTGCTTCCTTTACATATCATATGTGTTTCATTTGCCTCTCCAGCTTCCTTCCTTAATACCTCTTTTCTATCTTATGTGCCCCTTTCAAGTTTCTTGGACTAAGCTCATAATTAACTCCTGCTAAATGTACATATTTAATAACTAGAAGCTAGGATCCACATATGAGAAAGAACATGTGGTTTTCTCTTTCTGCGTCTGGGTTACCTCACATAACAGAACATTTTTTATTTCCACTGTCCTGCAAATTTCATAATATCATTTTCTTTGTGGCTTAATAGAATTCCACTGAAACACTAACTTTCAGAGGATTGATTGGTACAGAAAGAAAATGCTGTTGGATTATTGTCATGTGCTTTTGTATTATGCTTCAGAATGTTTTCCTCTGTTTCATGCCTGCTTATCAATAACATCAAATATTGGAGTTGTGGAGACCATTCAGTGGGTAAAAAGAGCTTGTCATATAAACACAGGAACCTAATTTTGACCTCCAGTAATCACATCAAATGCTGAGCATGACGGTATACACGTCTAACCCCAGTACTTGGGAGGAAGAGGCTTGTGGGCTTCTTCAACTCTGTAGCAAGCCAGCCTAGCCTAATCTGCAGCTTCTAGATCCCAATTAGAGACAGTCTCAAAAAGTGAGGTGTGCTCCAGAAGAACATATCTGAAACTGTATTATGGTCTTCACACATGCTCTCTCTCTCTCTCTCTCTCTCTCTCTCTCTCTCTCTCTCTCTCTCCCTCTCTCAAACTCGCATACACACACACATCACACAAACACACACATATTCATCAGTGTGCTAATACATAATAGATAATTACTGTGTTGTTTAAAAAATAAAAACATGAAATTCACAGGTAAATGGATGGAACTAGAAAGAAAATCATCCTAAGTGAGGTAACTCAGACTCAGAAAAACAACTGTAGTATGATTTTGCTTATATGTAGTTGTATATGTAGCTGTTAGGTCATATACAATCTATAAAAATCACGGACGTTAGGTAGAGAGAAGGTAAGGGACTAGGGGAGAGATCTCCCTAGGGAGGAAATAGAATACACAAACATGGATGGACAGTGTGTGTGTGTGTGTGTGTGTGTGTGTGTGTGTGTGTGTGTGCGTGATAGGATCAAACAGGGATTGGGAGGGTGAGGGAGTAAAGGAGACAATAATTGGAGGGGCACATCAAACTAAGAGTCATTTGAGGAGTTATGTGGAAACCTGCTACAGTAGATGTTTCCTAAAACATATCCGCATACAAAGGGTATCTAAATGGAATTGCTAAATAATGGAAAAGATGAGCTCC